GCGTCTGACTAAAGGTGGCCAACGAGTTGTATTTGAGGAAATAATTGTCGGACTAACGGGAGTAGGCCTAAGTCTGGAGACTCTACCAGTTGATCTCCCACTTGTAGCGGAGATTGATCCTAAAGATCCCATGAAGTCTTCTGAGAATTAACTTCGAAAATGGGGACATTTTATTATGCTGGTTTGAATCCAGTGAACTCATATGCTAAATGCATGAAATGTCTGCATGTTTTGGTGCAAATTTTTTGCTACGGTTGATTTTGTCGAACTCTAGTAAAATGCTTTTGTTGTGATATGTTGCTCTGATGAAAGTTAAGGCCGTAACATTCTGAAAATATTTGCGTTATTTGTTGAGAAAGAAATATTGACGAGTAACTTTCAAATGCCATGAAAACTAGGGTAAACATGGTGAGAATTGGATTAAACTGAATAGTGGTAAAAATTCTACATATGGAGTGATGGAACCGAATTGGACAAGAGCCAACTTATTATGAGGGTGTTTGATGGGGATTGAAATTAGATTTTTAATAGATTGTGATAGGAGTTTTTGAAATATGTGGTTGAAAAGTTGTAGGACCGATGAAATTTTTAATGGTTAGACTAGTTATATTGAAGTTAAACCAAAATGTGAATTCATCGAATCCGTACTGTCTACCTTTTTGGGGTAAAATTAAATGAAATGCCCTTTGTCGGAAACCCTAGATGAGCTTCGTGGCTAGTTGCTCTTTAGATTTTCCAAACTTAGATAAGGTAAAAGAGGCGTTTGTATCCTTACTCCATTCTTTCCTTTGTTAGGAATGGTAGAACGGAAAAGAAAATATCCTTAGACTGTGTCGAATCAAAAATTAAATGAGCCTGCTTACTCACTTCCCTTCCCTTCCATTTCTATGTTTCTTTATATTATGTATTACTGTACAGTTCATGCAGCGGAATGGACCTTTTGTGGAATCCGGGCTCAGTTTAACTTACCAATATCAAACACAATCAACCAATTTCTCCAACCCAACAACTAATATTATAACTCTTTGGTTGCCACTTCTAATATACCCACAAGAACACAAGATGGTGGTGTTTGCAAAAAGAACCACAAAGGCAGAGAGAAAGGCAAGGCAGAGAGCACGACGTAGAGGCAGTAAGAGGCAGCCACAATTTCTCTCTTTCATTCACAAAGCACACACTGTTCCAACACTAGAAAATGGGCATATATATATAGGTTATGTTATATCATCAATTAGGCCCACAAACAAAGTAATGGGCGAGCACATTAAAAGGACCATCCAAGAGTTACAGTGATTATGAACAACATTAACTAATTAAGTTGCTTCCACTAACCCGAGTTTTTTCGGATTGAGCCTATAAATTGATTGTGATGATAGTTATTTCACGCATCGGTCGAGGTCTATGAAATATAATCCAAACTGTTTAACATCATTGCCCGAAATTTATTGGGTATCAAAAAAACCCAACAGTTCACACTAATGAAAATTGTTAACATGTCTAGCTAGGTTGGAAATTCTTCACTCTAGTTAAGCAGATAGGATGGCAAAGTGTGTGATTTTGCAAGTTTGGCTGAAGCTTTAACGCGTGTCATTTTAATAATACTAATTTTTTTTTAAATGTCTATTGTACTATGCATTTTTAACCAAAGATTAAAGTTTTTAGTAAGTTCGAAATAAAATACTCAATACACATTACAAACTAACTATTAATATGCTTAACATTAATCGGGAGTACGAGAATGTGATATGGGTAGGTGAAAAAATACTTTATTGTTTTGTTGAAGATATAATTATAAGCAAACATTCTCATTTTCTCTTCACAAGTCTAGGGATGGCAACGGGGCGGGATGGGAAGGCCCTCCCCGTCCCCCGCCCCGTCCCCCTTTTAAGGCGGGGCGGGGGTAGGTTATTTCCCCATTTATTATTATTATTATTATTTTTTAGTTTTTGATAATTTATTTTTATTGTCCACATTCATTATATTTAGACAAATAATTTTAGTTGCTATTTTCTATTAGAACTAATGAAAATTTTCATTTAAAGTATTGAATTCTAAAAAAAAAAAATTTTTTGACGGGGCGGGGCGGGGACGGGGGAAAAATTCCCCGCCTCGTTACNGTAGGTTATTTCCCCGTTAAAATTTTTTTTTTAGTTTTTGATACTTTATTTTTATTATCCATATTCATTATATTTAGACAAATAATTTTAGTTGCTATTTTCTATTAGAACTAATGAAAATTTTCATTCAAAGCATTGAATTTAAAAAAAAATTTTTTTTTTTTTTTAACGGGGCGGGGCGGGGACCCCGTTACCCGTCCCTGCCCATTACCCGTTTAAGCGGATTTTTCCCGCCCCGTTTCGGGGCGGGGCCCCGCGGGTATCGAGTTTGTCTGATTTTTTTGCCATCTCCATGTCTATTAAGCATGTTCAGTGAAATTTCGCAAGTGTAAAAAATCATTGGCAAGTAATATTTTAAGGAGAAAGAGAATTATATTAACTCTCTATCAAACTCGGATGTACGTAAGACATAAGAGATTTGTTTTTATATTTCTAAGTTAATATAAAAATTATCTAAAGCATTTTTACTTAAATATGAGAAGTATGCATTGGATTTTCGAATTCACTAATCGCTATCTTATTTTTCATTCTCGATCTATGTTATCTAGTGTAATTTGTGTATTCTTAACAATCAATAAACTAATTTTATTAATTATCTATCCTGAGTTAAATTAAATATATCATAAGCACGACCCGATAATATTCCTATTTTGAATTTATATGCGAAATAATACATTAAATTACACAATTATCTATATGATTGCATACACCACAATATTATTCATAACATCAATTTCCCGTATGTTAATATTGCAAAGTTCTAAACCTATTATAAACCTCTTGAAACTATAACAAGCAACTAATTACCGGATTGGTGATCAAGTAATTAAATAATTTAACAAGGCATACAAGATCAATAAAAAAAATACAAATCAACTAAACTGCTTAGTCTTTGAATTAAAAATAATCAATAAAAGATTTCATCTTAATCCAACACAAGGAAAATCTAGCTAATGATAACACAACAAAGAGATTGAAAAATCTTCACATAAATACAAGAAGGAGATGTGTAATATATTTTATGATATGAGAGAAGTGTCATTAATGTTTGCACACCTACAGCACTTAAAGAGGCTGAAATTATGTCATGAAAAGGGGTTTCAATTTAAGAAGGAAAGT